GGGGGGGTCTCTGATCCCAAATGTGGGGATTTGGGGGGGGTCCCTGACCGCAGTTTGAGGTTTTTGGGGCATCCCTCCTCCCATATTTGGGGTTTTGAGGGGTCCCTGCTCCCAGTTTGGGGTTTTTGGGGGGTCCCTTACCCCGTGCCCCCCCAGGCACCAGCAGCCAGCTGGGGCAGGGATTTGGGGATTGAGGGGGTCGGTCCCTGACCCCAGTTTGGGGTTTTTGGGGGGTCCCTTACCCCAGTCTGGGGGTTTTGGGGTTTTTGGGGGGTCCTTGATCCCAGTTTTGGGGTTTTTGGGTTTTTTTGGGGGGTCCCTGAGCCCATGCCCCCCCAGGCACCGGCAGCCAGGGCGGCGCGGGGGGGATTTGGGGTTTTGGGGGGTCCCTGACCCCAGTTTTGGGGATTTGGGGTTTTGGGGGGTCCCTGACGCGTGCCCCCCCAGGCACCAGGTTTGGGGGGATTGGGGGTGATTTTGGGGTGTTTTAGGGTTGTTTTGGGATTTAGGGTTGTTCTGGGCGGATTTTGGGTTGTTTTGGGGGGATTTAGGGGAGGTTTAGGGTTGGTTTTGGGAGGGATTGGGGCGATTTTGGGGTGTTTTAGGGTTGTTTTGGGATTTAGGGTTGTTCTGGGCGGATTTTGGGTTGTTCTGGGGGGATTTAGAGTTGCTTTAGCGTTTTTGGGGAAGATTTTGGGGCATTTTAGAGTGGTTTTGGAGGTGATTTAAGGTCATTTTGCGTTTTTAGAACAATTTGAGGATATTTATCATTTCAAGGCTGTTTTGTTTAATTTTTCTCCAATCTTCACCCCGTCCCCCTCCCCAAATCCCCGTGCTGGGCTCCCCCAGGCCTGAACGACTGGGAGGACGACGAGATCCTGGCGTCGGTGCTGGCGGTGTCGCAGCAGGAGTACCTGGAGACCATGAAAACCTCGCGCCACAGAGACCCCGCCGCCGACAAGAGTTGATATTGAACCCCCGGACTGCGCCCCCCGTCCCCCGGAGACCCTCCCCCACCCGAAAAAAAAACCACAAAAAAAAAAAAACCACCAAAAAAAAGAGCCCCCCCCACCAGCACCTGGGGGGGGGGGGGGGGGAAGGGGGTCCGGGGGTGCTGCCCCCCCACACCCCCCCGCGCCCCGGTATTAAACTGATGCCCAGCACCCCCCTGGCCCCGTCTGTTCGTGGGGGGCTCGGCCCCTCCCCCACCTCCCCGGACAGGCGGGGGGGGGTCCCGGATCCTCCGGGGGGCCCTGGGGAGGGAACGGGGGGCGGGGATTTGCGGTTTTTGGGGGGTCCCGCCGCGATTTTGGGCGGCCCGGGCCTGGTTTTGGGGACTTCCGTGTTTACCCCGCGGTTGCCATGGTGATGCGTCGCGCTGGGATGACGTAGCGGGGCGGCAGCCAATCAGCGGTGAGGGTGGGAATGAGGGGGCGGGGTCACTTTGGGGGGACCGCAGCGCTGCCTGACCCAAGCGATATCTCAGGGGCTTGAGGGCTATCGGGGCTCTCCAGGTGCTGTCGCGATACAGAAAATATCGTGACAGCCGCGGCGGGGGGGTTGGGTCTCGTTATATCGCGACAAAGCGGCGCGGGATCGCCGGCGGCGTCGCGCTAGGCCGCGTTTCCATGGCGACACCGGGGCGTGGTCAGGGGCGTGGCCAGCGTTCATATGGCGGCTTCTCATTGGTCAGTGGGCGGGGTTCGGGCAGCGGCTCCGCCCCTTTCCCCGGCCGGCAGGGGGCGCCGCGCGCGGAGCGGGGGCGAGCGCGGGGAATGGAGCTGCGCGGGGGGCCCGGTGAGGGGCGGGGGTCTGAGGGGAAAAGGGGGTTTGTGAGGGGAGAAATGGGGTTTGTGAGGGGAGAAATGGGATTTGTGAGGGGAAAATGGGTTTTTTGAGGGGAGAAATGGGATTTGTGAGGGGAAAGTGGGGTTTGTGAGGGGAAAATGGGGTTTGTGAGGGGAGAAATGGGGTTTGTGAGGGGAAAATGGGTTTTTTGAGGGGAGAAATGGGATTTGTGAGGGGAAAGTGGGGTTTGTGAGGGGAGAAATGGGATTTGTGAGGGGAAAAATGGGATTTGTGAGGGGAAAATGGGGTTTGTGAGGGGAAAATGGGGTCTGAGAGGGGAAAATGGGGTTTTTGAGGGGAAAATGGGGTTTGTGAGGGAAGAAATGGGATTTGTGAGGGGAAAAGGGGGTTTGTGAGGGGAAAAACGGGGTTTGTGAGGGGAAAAGGGGGTTTTTGAGGGGAAAATGGGGTCTGAGAGGGGTGTCCTGATGGGAAAATGGGGTCTGTGAAGGGAAAATAGGAATCCTGAGGGGGATCCTGAGGGGAAAATGGGGTCTGTGAGGGGTTCTGAGGGGAAAATGGGGTCGGAGAGGGGGAAAATGGGGATCCTGAGGGGAAAATGGGGTCTGTGAGGGGTTCTGAGGGGAAAATGGGGGTCCCCCAGGAGCGTGAGGGGGGGTCTGAGGGTTTGGGGGAGGCTGAGGGGAGATGGGGGTCCCGTGTGATGGGAGGGGTCGTGAGGGAGGCAGTGGGAGGGGGAGTGCGAGGGGAAAATCGGGGTCCCTGAGGGGAAATTGGGGTCCTGAGCGTTTCTGGGGGTCCCTGAGGAGCCGTTTCATAGCTGGTGGGTTTTGGGGCTGGGGGTGACACGGGGTACCTGGGGAGGGGGACGAGGGGGTCTGTGACGCTGCGACCCCCCCCAAATCCCCTCCCCAGATCCCGCCCGGAGAAGGAGAAAGCGCAAAAAGGACAAAAAACCCAAAGCACCCCCAAGGTGAGGGGGGGCCAGCGGGGCCACGACCCTTCCCCAGAGCGGGGGGTGGGACACGCACGAGCAGAGCCCCCTTTTATGGGGGGGGGGGGGGGGGATTCCCGCCGCCCCCCCCCCCGAGGGGTTCTGAGGGGAAAATGGGGTCTGAGAGGGGGAAAATGGGGATCCTGAGGGGAAAATGGGGTCTGTGAGGGGTTCTGAGGGGAAAATGGGGTCTGAGAGGGGGAAAATGGGGATCCTGAGGGGAAAATGGGGTCTGTGAGGGGTTCTGAGGGGAAAATGGGGTCTGAGAGGGGGAAAATGGGGATCCTGAGGGGAAAATGGGGTCTGTGAGGGGTTCTGAGGGGAAAATGGGGTCTGAGAGGGGGAAAATGGGGATCCTGAGGGGAAAATGGGGTCTGTGAGGGGTTCTGAGGGGAAAATGGGGTCTGAGAGGGGGAAAATGGGGATCCTGAGGGGAAAATGGGGTCTGTGAGGGGTTCTGAGGGGAAAATGGGGTCTGAGAGGGGGAAAATGGGGATCCTGAGGGGAAAATGGGGTCTGTGAGGGGTTCTGAGGGGAAAATGGGGTCTGAGAGGGGGAAAATGGGGATCCTGAGGGGAAAATGGGGTCTGTGAGGGGTTCTGAGGGGAAAATGGGGTCTGAGAGGGGGAAAATGGGGATCCTGAGGGGAAAATGGGGTCTGTGAGGGGTTCTGAGGGGAAAATGGGGGTCCCTCAGGAGCGTGAGGGGGGGTCTGAGGGTTTGGGGGAGGCTGAGGGGAGATGGGGGTCCCGTGTGATGGGAGGGGTCGTGAGGGAGGCAGTGGGAGGGGGAGTGCGAGGGGAAAATCGGGGTCCCTGAGGGGAAATTGGGGTCCTGAGCGTTTCTGGGGGTCCCTGAGGAGCCGTTTCAGAGCTGGTGGGTTTTGGGGCTGGGGGTGACACGGGGTACCTGGGGAGGGGGACGAGGGGGTCTGTGACGCTGCGACCCCCCCCAAATCCCCTCCCCAGATCCCGCCCGGAGAAGGAGAAAGCGCAAAAAGGACAAAAAACCCAAAGCACCCCCAAGGTGAGGGGGGGCCAGCGGGGCCACGACCCTTCCCCAGAGCGGGGGGTGGGACACGCACGAGCAGAGCCCCCTTTTATGGGGTGGGGGGGGGGACATTCCGCGCCGCCCCTCCCCCTCCAGGGCTATTTTTAGCCCCGCGGGGCCGGGGGGCCTTGAGGTCATTTCTATTTTGGGGGGGTGATGGCCCAGAATGCCCCGCACCTGCCCCCCCCAGCCCGGGGGGGCCTCTGGGACCTCCCAGCGCTCCCCTGGGACCATCCCCGGCTCCTGGGACCACCCTGGGACCCCCCCCCAGCATGGGGGAGACCCCCGAAGGGACCAGGTATGGGGGGGCAGAGAGGAGACCCCCGAGGGGAGCAGATTTTGGGGAGGGGGGGCAGAGAGGAGACCCCCGAGAGAAGTTAATTTTGGGGAGGGGTGCAGAGATGAGACCCCCAAAGAGAGTTAATTTTGGGCAGGAGGGAGCAGAAAGGAGACCCCCGAGGGGAGCAGATTTTGGGGAGGGGGGGCAGAGAGGAGACCCCCGAGAGAAGTTAATTTTGGGGAGGGGTGCAGAGATGAGACCCCCAAAGAGAGTTAATTTTGGGCAGGAGGGAGCAGAAAGGAGACCCCCGAGGGGAGCAGATTTTGGGGAGGGGGGGCAGAGAGGAGACCCCCGAGAGAAGTTAATTTTGGGGAGGGGTGCAGAGATGAGACCCCCAAAGAGAGTTAATTTTGGGCAGGAGGGAGCAGAAAGGAGACCCCCGAGGGGAGCAGATTTTGGGGAGGAGGGGGCAGAGAGGAGACCCCTGAAGGTTCCAGATTTTGGGGAGGGGGATAGCAGAGAGGAGACCCCCAAAGAGAGTTAATTTTGGGGAGGGGGGATAGGGAGGAGACCCCCGAGGGGAGTAACTTTGGGGAGGGGGTGCAGAGAGGAGCCCCCCGAAGGTTCCAGATGTTGGGGAGGGGTCCGCAGCCGGGGTGTGCAGGGAGCGGGGGTTGGGGCCCGGCCCGGGCCAGCGACCCCAACCGCGAGAACATCGTGCAGCTCATCGATGACTTCAAGATCTCGGGGGTCAACGGAGTCCGTATCCTTTTGGGGGGCTCTGGGGGGGGACCCCGAGTTTCCCTCCCTGTGGGGGGGTCCCAGGGGTCTGGGGGCTCCTTGACTGCCCCCCCCCAGATGTTTGCATGGTGCTGGAGGTGCTGGGGCACCAGCTGCTGCGCTGGATCATCAAATCCAACTACCAGGGGCTGCCCCTGCCCTGCGTCAAGAGCATCGTGCGCCAGGTGGGGGCTGCGTGCCCCAAACCCCGCCCTGGGACCCCAAACTCTGCCCCGGGACCCCAAACCCTGCCCCGGGACCCCAAACCCTGCCCCGGGACCCCAAACCCTGCCCCGGGACCCCAAACCCTGCCCCGGGACCCCAAACCCTGCCCCGGGACCCCAAACCCTGCCCCGGGACCCCAAACCCTGCCCCGGGACCCCAAACCCTGCCCCGGGACCCCAAACCCTGCCCCGGGACCCCAAACCCTGCCCCGGGACCCCAAACCCTGCCCCGGGACCCCAAACCCTGCCCCGGGACCCCAAACCCTGCCCCGGGACCCCAAACCCTGCCCCGGGACCCCAAACCCTGCCCCGGGACCCCAAACCCTGCCCCGGGACCCCAAACCCTGCCCCGGGACCCCAAACCCTGCCCCGGGACCCCAAACCCTGCCCCGGGACCCCAAACCCTGCCCCGGGACCCCAAACCCTGCCCCGGGACCCCAAACCCTGCCCCGGGACCCCAAACCCTGCCCCGGGACCCCAAACCCTGCCCCGGGACCCCAAACCCCGCCCTGGGACCCCAAACCCTGCCCTGGGACCCCAAATCCATCCCTGGGACCCCCAATCCTGCCCTGGGACCCTGAACCCCACCCTGGGACCCCAAACCCTGCCCTGGGACCCCAAATCCTCCCCTGGGACCCCAAATGGGCCGCACAGAGACCCCCAAATCCTCCTGGCTCCCCTGTTTGGGGTGCCCCCCCCAACTTGGGCTGTGCCCCCCGGTTGGGATACCCCCCAGATTTGTGTTGCCCCCCGATTTCAGGGATCCCTCCCCCGATGTCGGGGTGCCCCCCCAGATTTGGGTTGTCCCTCCCCGACTGGGATGCCCCTCCAGATTTGTGTTGCCCCCCAGATTTGGGGTGCCCCTTCCCGATTGAGATGCCCCCCCATTTTTGGGGTTTCCCTCTGGTTTGGGCTGTCCCTCCTCGATTGGGATGTCCCCCCATATTTGTATTGCCCCCCCGATGCCAGAGTGCCCTCCCGATGTCGAGGTGCCCCCCAATGTTGGGATGCCCTCCTGATTTTGGGGTTTCCCTCCCGATGTCGGGGTGCACTGGCTGAACAGAGACCCCAAACCCCACCCTGGGACCCCAAATCCATCCCTGGGACATCAAACCCCGCCCTGGGACTCCAAATGGGCTGAACAGAGACCCCCAAATCCTGCTGGCTCCCCTGTTTGGGGTGCCCCCCCAACTTGGGCTGTCCCCCTCGGTTGGGATGCCCCCCCCAGATTTGTGTTGTGCCCCAGATCTGGGGTGCTCCCCCCAATTTGGGCTGTCCCTCCCCGATTGGGATGCCCCCCCATTTTTGGGGTTCCCCCCCAATTTCGGGGTTCCCCCCGCTTTGGGGTGCCCCCCCGATGTTGGGGTGCCCCTCCCTAATTTTGTGTGCCCCTCACAGCTTTGGGCTGTCGTTCCCTGATTGGGATGTCCCCCCCTATTTGGTGTCCCCCCCCAATTTCGGGGTTCCCCCCGCTTTGGGGTGCCCCCCCGATGTTGGGGTGCCCCTCCCTAATTTTGTGTGCCCCTCACAGCTTTGGGCTGTCGTTCCCTGATTGGGATGTCCCCCCCTATTTGGTGTCCCCCCCCAATTTCGGGGTTCTCCCACGATGTTGGGGTGCCCCTCCCGAGGTCGGGGTGCCTCCCCCGATTTCAGGGTGCCCCCCCGATGTTGGGGTGCCCCTCCCGATGTCGGGGTGCCCCCCCAATGTTGGGATGCCCTCCCGATTTTGGGGTTTCCCTCCCGATGTCGGGGTTCTCCCCCGATGTCAGGGTTCTCCCCCGATGTCGGGGTGCCCCTGCGATGTCGGATACCCCGAAACACAGCCCGGGGGTAGGGTACCCCGAAACACAGCCCGGGGGGAGGGTACCCCGAAACCCAACCCGGGGCTAGGGTACCCCTAAATCCATCCCCGGGGCAGGGTACCCCGAAATACAGCCCGGGGGTAGGGTACCCCGAAATCCATCCCGGGGGGAGGGTACCCCGAAATACAACCCATGGGGGGCAGGGTACCCCGAAACACAGCCCATGGGGGGCAGGGTACCCCGAAATCCATCCCCCGCGGGGCAGGTACCCCAAAATCCATCCCCGGGGGGTAGGGTACCCCAAAACCCATCCATGGGGGAGTAGGGTACCCCAAATTCCATCCGCCGGGGGGCAGGTACCCCAAAATCCGTCCATGGGGGGCGGGGGTAGGGTACCCCGAAATCCATCGCATGGGGGGCAGGGAGCCCCGAAATCCATCCCCGGGGGTAGGGTACCCCAAATTCCATCCGCCGGGGGGCAGGTACCCCAAAATCCGTCCATGGGGGGTAGGGTACCCCAAATTCCATCCGCCGGGGGGCAGGTACCCCAAAATCCGCCCGTGGGGGGTAGGGTCCCCCAAAACCCATCCCCCGACGGGGCAGGGTACCCCGAAATACAGCCCGGGGGTAGGGTACCCCGAAATCCATCCCGGGGGGAGGGTACCCCGAAATACAACCCATGGGGGGCAGGGTACCCCGAAACACAGCCCATGGGGGGCAGGGTACCCCGAAATCCATCCCCCGCGGGGCAGGTACCCCGAAATCCATCCCGGGGGTAGGGTACCCCGAAATCCATCGCATGGGGGGCAGGGAGCCCCGAAATCCATCCCCGGGGGTAGGGTACCCCAAAACCCATCCCCCGAGGGGTAGAGTACCCAAAAATCCATCCCCTGCGGGGCAGGTACCCCAAAACAGCCCGGAGGGGATAGGGTACCCCGAAATACAGCCCATGGGGGGGTAGGTACCCCAAAATGCATCCCCCGTGGGGCAGGTACCCCAAAAGACAGCCTGGGCGGGGGGGCCAGGTACCCCAAAATCCATCCCATGGGGTTAAGGTGCCCCAAAATCCATACCCCACAGGGCAGGTACCCCCTAAATTCATCCCATGGGGGCAGGTACCCCAAAACACACCCCTGTGGGGGTAGGGTGCCCCAAAACACATCCTATGGGTGTCCAAAATGCACCCCAGGAGTGCAGGTGACCCCAAAACCCGTGGTGTGTGCAGGTACCTGTTGATCCCCAAAAGAGCAGGTGTGCCCAACCCCACTGCTCTGGGGGTCCCCAGAATTTGGGGATCCCCAACTCCCCCCCTCCTGTCTGCCCACAGTGAGCTCGGCACCCCAGGAGGAACCTGTGAGTGTGACACCTGTGTGTGATTGCACACGTGTGTGTGTGTATGTGTGGGCTCATGTGTGTGTGTGTGTGTGTGTGCTCACCTTTGCATGCTCACCTGTCCTTGCACACCTGTGCACGCCCTCACACCCGAGCGTGTTCACCTGTGTGTGCTCACACCTGTGTGTGCTCGTGTGTGTGCATGTTCATACCTGTGTTTTTGCACACCTGTCTGCCCTGTGTCCCCCAAAATCAAACCCCCCCCATCCCAGGACCCCCCAGAATCGAGGGAAAAAACCCCAAAATTGGGTAAATCCCCCCAAAACCGTGGGAATCCCCCAAAAACCGAGGGAATCCTCTCAAATTGAGGAAATCCCGTCAAAACCGAGGGAATCCCCCAAAATCCATCAATCCCCCCTGCCAGGAGCGGCTGTCCCAGGATCCCCCAGTCCTGGGACTCCCCAAAACCGAGGGAATCCCCCCAAAACCGAAGGAATCCCCCCAAAACCGGGGGTATCTCCCCAAAACCGGGGGAATCCCCCCAAAACCGAGGGAATTCCCCCCATAACTGAGGGAATCCCCCCCAAACCGGGGGAATCCCCCCAAAACCGAGGGAATTCCCCCCATAACTGAGGGAATCCCCCCCAAACCGGGGGAATCCCCCCAAAACCGAGGGAATTCCCCCCATAACTGAGGGAATCCCCCCCAAACCGGGGGAATCCCCCCAAAACCGAGGGAATCCCCCCCCTCTCCCAGGAGCGGCTGTCGCGGGCTCAGCGGCGCCGGCGGCGGCGGCGACAGCGGCGACAGCGGCAGCTGCTGGCAGAGAGACTGCGGGACCTGGAGCGGCTGCGCGACACCGCGGGGACACCGGGGACAGGCAGCGACACCGGTCAGTGCCGGGGGGGGACACTGAGGGGACACCGGGGACAGGCAGTGACACCGGTCAGTGCGGGGACGGGACACCAGGGGGGCCCTGGGGACCCCAAAAAGCCCCCACATCCCCCCCAGATCCTCATGGGACACAGAAAGGGACAACGGGGGGTCCTGGGGGGACACTGGGGGGTCCCAGGACACAGGGAGGAGAAGAGGGGGACCCTGGGGGGGTGGGGGAATGGGACAGGTGGGGTTGGGGTCCCCAGGGTGGGGTGGAGACAATTTGGGGTCCCCAGGGTGGGTTTGGGGTCCCAGAGGGAGCCCCAGACATAGCTGGGGGTCCCCAGGGTGGGGTGGGGGATCCCCAAAGATGATTTGGAGTCCCCAGGATGGGTTTGGGGTCCCCAGAGTGGGGGGAAGGAGACAATTTGGGATCCCCAGGGTGGGTTTGGGATCCCCAGGGTGGGTTTGGGCCTCGTGGGTGAGCAGGACCCCCAAGAACAATTTGAGGGGCTCTGGGGACAGTTTTGGGGTCCCTGGACCTGTTTTGGGGAGCCCCACGAGCCTTTGGGACCCCAGCAACAGGGAGGGGGGTTGGGACCACCTGGGAGTTTTGGGGTGAATTTGGGGGGTCTCAGGGTCTGTTTGCTCCTGCAGAAACCCCCCCGGACCCCCCGGAGGAGGGCGGGGGGAGCCCCCCGAGCGGGGCCTCGTCCTCGGGGGTGCACACGCTGCCCGCGGGGGGGGGCTCCAGCGACGGCTTCTCGGGGGGCTCCTGCGCCTCCAGGGGGGGCCCCCCGGGACCCCCCCGGCGCCCCCCCAGCCCCAGCTCGGCCTCGGACTCGCTGTTCACCCCCACCTCCGGCTCCCTCATCTCGGGGGGCTCCGAGGGGCTCCCCAACCCCGGGGGTGTGTGGGTGTAGGGGGATTCTGGGGGCTCTGGGGGTGTTCCTGTGGCCCGGGGTGAATTGGGTCTGGGGGCCACGGCCTGGAGTGAATTGGGTCTGGGGGCCGTGGTGACCCCTGCCGCAGCACAGGCACTTCACCGAGGACATCCAGACGCGGCAGTACCGGGCGCTGGAGGTGCTGCTGGGGGCGGGCTACGGCCCCCCCGCCGACATCTGGAGCACGGCCTGCATGGTGGGGGGGCCGGGACCCCCGGGGGGGCTGCCAGGGACCCCGGGGGGGGGCAGGGGCTGCCAGGGACCCCCGGGGGGGCAGGGGCTGCCAGGGACCCCTGGGAGGGGCAGGGACTGTGATGGACCACGGGGTGGGGAGGGGGTTTCTCATGGACCCCGGGGTGGGCAGGGGGCTCTGACAGACCCTGGGTGGGGAGGGGGCTCTGATGGCCCCCACGGTGGGGAGGGGGCTGTGATGGTTTCCCAGGGTGGCAGGGGGCTGTGACAGACCCCCAGGGTGGGCAGGGGGCTGTGACAGACCCCCAGGGTGGCAGGGGGCTGTGACAGACCCCCTCCCCAGGCGTTCGAGCTGGCCACGGGCGATTACCTGTTCGAGCCGCACTCGGGGGAGGAGTACAGCCGCGACGAGGGTGGGCGGGGCCTCTGGAGCGGGCGTGGTCTCGGGGTGGGCGTGGTCAGGAATGGGTGTGGTCTTGGGGATGGGTGTGGCCTTGGGATGGGTGTGACCTCAGGAATTGGGGTGGTCTCTGGCATGGGTGTGGCCATGAGGTGGGTGTGGCCTTGGGAATGGGTGTGGTTTCAGGAATGGGTGTGGCCTTGGGAATGGGTGTGGCTTCAGGGATGGGTGTGGCCATGGGGTGGGTGTGGCCTTGGGGATGGGCGTGGTCTTGGCATTGCATATGGTCTCTGACATGGGTGTGGCCTTGGGAATGGGTGTGGCCATGAAGTGGGTGTGGCCTCGGGAATGGGTGTGCCGGGGTGGGCGGGGGGCTGTGACAGCCCCCCCTCCCCAGGCGTTCGAGCTGGCCACGGGCGATTACCTGTTCGAGCCGCACTCGGGGGAGGAGTACAGCCGCGACGAGGGTGGGCGGGGCCTCTGGAGCGGGCGTGGTCTCGGGGTGGGCGTGGTCAGGAATGGGTGTGGTCTTGGGGATGGGTGTGGCCTTGGGATGGGTGTGACCTCAGGAATTGGGGTGGTCTCTGGCATGGGTGTGGCCATGAGGTGGGTGTGGCCTTGGGAATGGGTGTGGTTTCAGGAATGGGTGTGGCCTTGGGAATGGGTGTGGCTTCAGGGATGGGTGTGGCCATGGGGTGGGTGTGGCCTTTGGGAATGGGCGTGGTCAGGAATGGGTGTGGTCGTGCGGTGGGTGTGGCCTCGGGGATGGGTGTGACCTCAGGAATTGGGGTGGTCTCTGGCATGGGTGTGGCCATGAGGTGGGTGTGGCCTTGGGAATGGGTGTGGTTTCAGGGATGGGTGTGGCCATGGGGTGGGTGTGGCCTTGGGGATGGGCGTGGTCTTGGCATTGCATATGGTCTCTGACATGGGTGTGGCCTTGGGAATGGGTGTGGCCATGAAGTGGGTGTGGCCTCGGGAATGGGTGTGGTCTCAGGAATGGGCAGCACGTGGCACATGTGGGCGGGGTCTCCCCAATAAGGATGTAAAAGGGGCGGGGTCTTTGGCAGTTAGGGGGTGTGGCCTGACCCAAGGGCGTGACTATTCAGGATTGGGTTTCAAACAAGGGGCGTGGCTCATCAGTGGGTGGAGCCTGCCATGGCGTGGCAGCCAATGGACTGGGGGGGTTTGGCCAGGGGGGGCGTGGCCAAGTCAATCTCCCTGAGTGGGGGTGGGGATTGAAGCAGGCGGGTGGGCGTGGCTAAGGGGGTGGGCGTGGCTAAGGGGGCGTGTCCGGCGTGCCCCGCTCCGCAGACCACATCGCGCACGTGATCGAGCTGCTGGGGGAGATCCCGCGGCACGTGGCCCTGGGGGGGCGCTACTCCCGCGAGTTCTTCAACAGGAGAGGTGAGGGCGGGGCCGGGGCGTGGCCAGGAGCGTGGCCAGGGTTGGGCGTGGCTGGGCGGGGTCAGAGTTAAGGGCTGGGTGTGGCTGGGTGTGGCCAAAGGGGGCGGGGTTAAGGGTTGGGTGTGGCCCTAGAGGTGGAGAGGGACAAGGTGGGGCTATGCAAATGAAGGGGTGCCACACCCATAGGGGTGTGGTCATGGGAAAGGGGGCGGGGCTTGAGCTCAGGGTGATTGGGTGGGGTTTATCATTCCATACCCCCCCCACATTGGGATTGGGGCGTGTCTTGACCACGCCCTCCATAAGGGGCGGGGCCACCTCAACATTGGGATATCCTGACCACACCCTTTATAAGGGGTGTGGCTACATTGGGATAGGGGCGTGTCCTAACCACACCCTTTTAAGGGGCAGGGCCACCAGATTGGGTCATTTCCTGGCCACACCCCCATAATGGGTGGAGCCACACCTTTGGGTCATGTCCTGACCATAACCCCCATAAGGGGTGGGGCCACTTCAGCATTGGGGCGTGTCCTGATGACCACACCCCCATAATGGGCGGGGCCACAGCTTTGGGTCATGTCCTTACCATGCCATAAGGGGCGGGGCCACCTCAGGATTGGGTCATTTCCTGGCCACACCCACACAAGGGGCGGGGCCACCCCATGACCCCTCCCCCCGCTCCGTGCTTGCCGTGGGCGTGTCCCGCGGCGGCCCCGCCCCTGACCCCGCCCCTCGGCAGGTGAGCTGCGGCACATCCGGCACCTGCGGCCGTGGGGGCTGCGGGCGGTGCTGCAGGAGAAGTACGAGTGGCCGCGGGGCGCGGCCGCCGCCTTCGCGCGCTTCCTGCGGCCCATGCTGGCCTTCGAGCCCGGCCGCCGCGCCACGGCGCGCCAGTGCCTGCAGCACCCCTGGCTCCGCCCCTAGCCCCGCCCCCAGCCCCAATAAACCACGGGAACGGTGGCACTGGTGTTTATTGGGGTCTTTCGGGGGGGTTGGGGTGTTTGTTGGGGGCGGGGCCACCCCATGACCCCCCCCCCGCTCCGTGCTTGCCGTGGGCGTGTCCCGCGGCGGCCCCGCCCCTGACCCCGCCCCTCGGCAGGTGAGCTGCGGCACATCCGGCACCTGCGGCCGTGGGGGCTGCGGGCGGTGCTGCAGGAGAAGTACGAGTGGCCGCGGGGCGCGGCCGCCGCCTTCGCGCGCTTCCTGCGGCCCATGCTGGCCTTCGAGCCCGGCCGCCGCGCCACGGCGCGCCAGTGCCTGCAGCACCCCTGGCTCCGCCCCTAGCCCCGCCCCCAGCCCCAATAAACCACGGGAACGGTGGCACTGGTGTTTATTGGGGTCTTTCGGGGGGGTTGGGGTGTTTGTTGGGGTCTTTTGGGGGGTTCTTGGTGGTCCTGGGGTGTTTATTGGGGTTTTGTGGGGGGCTCCTGGTGGTCCTGTGGGGGGTTTGGGGGGTCCTGGGGTGTTTATTTGGAGTTTTGTGGGGGGTCTCAGTGGTCCTGGGGTGTTTATTGGGGTCCTGTGGGGGTCTGCTGGTGGTCCTGGGATGTTTATTGGGGTATTGGTGGTCCTGGGGTGTTTATTTGGGGTTTTCTGGGGGCTCCTGGTGGTCCTGGGGTGTTTATTGGGGTCCTGTGGGTGTTCCTGGTGGTCCTGTGGTGGGTCCCCGTGGTCCTGGGGTGCTTATGGGGTTGTTTGGGGGGTCCTGGTGGTCCTGGGCTGTGTATTGGGGTTTTATGGGGGCTCCCGGTGGTCCTGTGGGGGATTTGGGGGCTCCTGGGGTGTTTATTGGGGTCCCGTGGGGGTTTGGGGTGCTCTGGTTGGTCCTACAGGGGTTTGGGGTGCTCCTGGTGGTCCTGTGGGGGATTTGGGGGCTCCTGGGGTGTTTATGGGGGTCCCGTGGGGGGTTTGGGGTGCTCCTGGTGGTCCCGTGGGGACTTTGGGGTGCTCTGGTTGGTCCTACAGGGGTTTGGGGTGCTCCTGGTGGCTCTCAGGCGTGTTGGGGTCCCGTTTATTGGGGTATTGGTGGTCCTGGGGTGTTTATTTGGGGTTTTCTGGGGGCTCCTGGTGGTCCTGGGGTGTTTATTGGGGTCCTGTGGGTGTTCCTGGTGGTCCTGTGGTGGGTCCCCGTGGTCCTGGGGTGCTTATGGGGTTGTTTGGGGGGTCCTGGTGGTCCTGGGCTGTGTATTGGGGTTTTATGGGGGCTCCCGGTGGTCCTGTGGGGGATTTGGGGGCTCCTGGGGTGTTTATTGGGGTCCCGTGGGGGTTTGGGGTGCTCTGGTTGGTCCTACAGGGGTTTGGGGTGCTCCTGGTGGTCCTGTGGGGGATTTGGGGGCTCCTGGGGTGTTTATGGGGGTCCCGTGGGGGGTTTGGGGTGCTCCTGGTGGTCCCGTGGGGACTTTGGGGTGCTCTGGTTGGTCCTACAGGGGTTTGGGGTGCTCCTGGTGGCTCTCAGGCGTGTTGGGGTCCCGTGGGGTGCATCGTGGTCCTAAAGGTCCTGGGGGTGCTTTGGGGTCCTGGGGGGGTTCTGGGGGGTCCCAGGAGTGTTTTGGGGGGGTCCCAGTGGTGTTGTGTGGTCCTGGGGGTGTTCTGGGGGGTCCCGGGGCCATTTTGGGGTCCTGGAGGTGCTTTTGGGCTCCCAGGGGTGTCTTGGGGGTGTTCTGGGGGGGTCTCAGGAATGTTTTGGGGTCCTGGTGGTGTCAGGTGTGTGGTCCTGGGGGTGTTTGGGGTCCTGGTGGTGTCAGGTGGGTGCTCCTGGAGGGTCCCAGGGCTGTTTTGGGGTCCTGGAGGTGCTTTTGGGGTCCCAGGGGTGCTTTGGGGTCGCGGAGGTGTCAGGGGGGTGCTCGTGGGGCCATTCTGGGGGGTCCTGGGGCCGTTTTGGGGTCCCAGGGCCGTTCCAGGAGAGTCCCAGAGTTGTTCCGGGGGGGTCTTGGGCTATTCTGGGGGGGTTCCAGGGGTCCTGGGGCTGTTCCAGGGGGGTCCCAGGGCTGTTTTGGGGTCCTGGAGCCATTTTGGGGTCCCAGGGCTATTCCAGAAGGGGACTGTTTTGGGGGGGGTCCTGGGGCCATTTTGGGGTCCCGAGGCTGTTCTGGGGGTGTCTGGGGCTGTTCCAGGGGGTCCCAGGGCTGTTCTGGGGGTGTCTGGGGCTGTTTTGGGGGGTCCCAGGGGGGTCCCGGGTGGTTCCAGGGGGTCCCCGGGGGTCCCGGTGCCCGTGCGGGGGCTCAGCCCCGCGGCAGGTGCCCGATGATGCTCTGCACCGCGCCCGACGTCGTGCCCTGGCCCCCGATGTCCGGTGTGTGCGTCTGGGGGCGGGGCCACGTCAGAGACACGCCCACAGGTGTGTGGCCACGCCCCCGGGGCGGGTGGGGGCGGGGCTTTTGGCCACGCCCCCAGGGCAGGTGGGGGCGGGGCTTACCCGGGGGTCGTCCAGCGAGGCCAGCACGGCTTTGCGGATGGTGGAGGCGTGGTTGTGCAGCCTGGGGGCGGGGCAAGCACGGGCCACGCCCACATCAGTGAGCCACACCCAACCCCAGAGGCGAAGCTCCGCCCCCTCCAGGTGAACACTGAGGCCCCGCCCCCTCAGCAGCCCCTCCCATGGGAACCTAGACTGCTAGGCCACACCCCTTAGCCCCTCCCACTGGGAAGCCACCCCCCCTTCTAAAGCACCGCCTCTTTTTGGGGACCCCGTTCCTCTCAGGTGTCCCCACCCCCTCCCAGGTGAGCTCCGCCCCCAGGCAGGTGAGCCCCACCCACTGCAGGTGTCCCCACCCCCTCCCAGGTGAGCATTGGGGGGTTTTGGGGGGTTTTGGGGGTTCCTGGGGGGGCACACCTGCATGGTGGTGTTGTCCACGATCATGCTGCGGAATTGGATCTCGGGGTACTCGGCTGCCACTTCCTGGCAGCACTGCAGGAACAGCCCGTCCCCCAATTTCCTGTGGGGCACGGGGGGTGAGACCCCAAAAATACAGGAGAACCCCCCAAAAAATCCCACAGAACCCTGGGAACCCCCCCAAAAAATCTGGGGTACCCTGGGGATCCCACTGAGCACTGCAGGAACAGCCCGTCCCCCAATTTCCTGTGGGGCACGGGGGGTGAGACCCCAAAAATACAGGAGAACCCCCCAAAAAATCCCACAGAACCCTGGGATCCCACTGAGCACTGCAGGAACAGCCCATCCCCTGATTTCCTGTGGGGCACGGGGGGTGAGACCCCAAAAATACAGGAGAACTCCCCCAAAAAAATCCCAGAAATCCCTGGGATCCCACTGAGCACTGCAGGAACAGCCCGTCCCCTGATTTCCTGTGGGGCACGGGGGGTGAGACCCCAAAAATACAGGAGAACTCCCCCAAAAAAATCCCAGAAATCCCTGGGATCCCACTGAGCACTGCGTGAACAGCCCGTCCCCTGATTTCCTGTGGGGCACAGGGTGAGACCCCAAAAATACAGGAGAACCCCCCCCAAAATCTGGGATATCCCCCGGAACAGCCCGTCCCCCAATTTCCTGTGGGGCACAGGGGGGTGAGACCCCAAAAAAATCCCACAGAACCCTGGGATCCCCCCCAAAAATTCTGGGGTATTTTGGTATTCCCCAAAACCCATCAAGGACACCCCCCCAGAACCCCAAACCCCCTTTAGACCCCCCCAAACTCCCNCCCCCAAAATATGGCAGGGGCGGGGCGTGGTGAACAGGGTGGGGCAGGGATTGGGCACTATCAATGGTGTGGGGCAGGGTGGGGCATCACCAACAGGGCGTGGCACAGGCGTGGCATGGGTGGGGCATAATCAACAGGGTGTGGGAGGGTGGGGCAGGGCTGGGGCACAGGTGGGGCATCACCTCCAGAATGTGGGATGGGTGTGGCTTCCCCAACAGGGCGGGGCAGGGGCTTGGCACCACCCCCCAGGTGTGGCATGGCCGTGGCATCACTTCCATAACGTGGGGTGGGTGTGGCATCACCAACAGGGTGTGGCACAGGTGGGGCAGGGCTGGGGCACAGGTGGGGCATCACCTCCAGAATGTGGGATGGGTGTGGCTTCCCCAACAGGGCGGGGCAGGGGCTTGGCACCACCCCCCAGGTGTGGCATGGGCGTGGCTGGGCCAGGGCATCACCATCAGGGCGTGGCACAGGTGGGGCAGGGGCTTGGCACCACCCCCCAGGTGTGGTATGGGCACAGCCAGGGCATCACCAGCAGGGCGTGGCACGGGTGTGGCATCAGCCATGGGTATGACATCACCAGCAGGGCGTGGCATGGGCACGGCATCACATCCAGCGTGGGTTTTGGGGAGATTTGGGATATTTTGGGGGGTGTTTTGGGGATTTTTGGGGGATTTTTGAGGCATTTGAGGGGATTTTTGGGGTGATTTGGCGGTTAGTTTTTGGGGTGGTTTAGGGTATTTTGGGGATATTTTTAGGGTGGTTTTGGGGGTATTTTTGGGGTGTTTTTGGGTATTTTTGGGGCGCACCTCGTGCTCCAGGGAGCTGTACTCCCCCTCGGTGTTCTCCCTGACGATGAGGATGGTTTGGGGTATTTTTGGGGATATTGTTGGGGTGTTTTTGGGAGGTTTTGGGGGGTATTTTTGGGGTGTTTTGGGGTGTTTTTGGGGGGTTTTGGGGCGCACCTCGTGCTCCAGGGAGCTGTACTCCCCCTCGGTGTTCTCCCTGACGATGAGGATGTCGATGTCCCGGTGCCGCGTCTCCACCCCGGGCAGGCTCTGGCAGTGAATCACGTTGGCATAGAGATCCAGGCTGGTCCTGGCAGCGCCCAAAAATATGCAAATGAGACGCAAAGTATGCAAATCGACCCCCAAAATATTCATGTGAACCTCTAAAAGTGTAAATAAACCCCTAAAACTTAAATGAACTCCCAAAACATTCAAATGGATCCCCTAAACATGCAAATCGACCCCCAAATATTCAAATTAACCCCCAAAGCATGCAAATCACTGCCCAGGCATGCAAATTGAGCCCGAGACATGCAAATTAATCCCCTAAACAGGCAAATCAACCCCAAAACACACAGCAGACCCCAAAATATGCAAACAAACCCCTAAAACATGCAAAGAACCCCCAAACATGCAAACCAACAGCCAATTATACAAATTAACCCCAAAATGTGCAGATCAAACCCTCAAATATGCAAATGAATAACCGAATCAGGCAAATGAACCCCAGATATGCAAATCAAACCCCCAAAAGATGCAAATGAGCCCCAAATGATGCAAATCAACACCCAAGACATGCAGATGCATCTCAAAATGCAATTTAACCCCCGAGACATGCAAAAAACCCCAAAAACATGCAAATGAACCCCCCAAAACATGCAAACCAACTCGCAAATGAGACCCAAAACATGCAAATCAAACCCCCAAATATGCAAATGAATAACCGAATCAGGCAAATGAACCCCAGATATGCAAATCAAACCCCCAAATATGCAAATGAATAACCAAATCAGGCAAATGAACCCCAAATATGCAAATCAAACCCCCAAAATATGCAAATGAGCCCCAAATGATGCAAATCAACACCCAAGACATGCAGATGCATCTCAAAATGCAATTTAACCCCCGAGACATGCAAAAAACCCCAAAAACATGCAAATGAACCCCCCAAAACATGCAAACCAACTCATTAAATATGCAAATGAGCCCCCAATTATGCAAATGCCCCCGTGCCCACCTGATGAGGTTGTTGCGGGATTTGTGGTTGGGGGGGAGGTTGTGGTTGGTCTCGATGTTCCCTGAGGGGAGAACGGGCTCAGAGCGGGGCTCGGGGACTGGGGGGGACTCTGAGGGATTTTGGGGTTTTTCATGGGGGAAAATGGCACTAAAATGGGGATAAATGGGGGAAAATGGGGAAAATATGGGGAAAAATGGGAGGAAATGGAGAAAAACGGGAAAAAATGGGGAAAATGGGAGAAATATGGGGGAAAATGGCACTAAAATGGGGATAAATGGGGGAAAATGGGGAAAATATGGGGAAAAATGGGAGGAAATGGAGAAAAACGGGAAAAAATGGGGAAAAAGGGAGAAATATGGGGGAAAATGGCACTAAAATGGGGATAAATGGGGGAAAATGGGGAAAATATGGGGAAAAATGGGAGGAAATGGAGAAAAACGGGAAATATGGGGGGAAAAGGGAGAAATATGGGGGAAAATGGCACTAAAATGGGGAAAAATGGGGGAAAATGGGGAAAATATGGGGAAAAATGGGAGGAAATGGAGAAAAACGGGAAAAAATGGGGAAAATGGGAGAAATATGGGGGAAAATGGCACTAAAATGGCAGAAAATGGGGAAAAATGGGGAAAAAATGGGGAAAAATGGGGGAAAATGGCACAAAAATTGGAAAAATGGGAAAAAAATGGGAAAAAATGGGGAAAAATGGGGAAAAAATGGCACTAAAATGGGAAAAAATGGGGAAAATGGGAAACAATGGCAGCAAAATGGGAAAAAATGGCACCAAAATGGCAATAAATGGAAAAAAATGGTACTAAAATGGCGTTAAAATGGAAAAAATGGAAAAAAATGGCAGCAAAATGGGGAAAAATGGCACCAAAATGGCACCAAAATGGGGAAAAAATGGCACCAAATGGGACCAAACAGCACCAAAATGGCAAAAATGGAACTAAAATGGCAAAAAAATGGCACCAAATGGAAAAAAAAGGCACCAAAATGGCACCAATTGGCACCAAAGTGCCCAAAATGGAACAAATGGCACCAAAGTGCCCTCCCAATGTCACCCAAATGTCCCCAAATATCCATTTTTACTGATGCATTTCCATATTTTAACAATTAATTACATTTTTTGGGGCCTCATTTGCATATTTTAGGACCAATCCCCCCATTTCAGCCTCAACCCCCCAATTCCTGCCTCTCCACTCCCCCTTTTGGGCGCTCATCTCCCCCCTCCCCATTCACCCCCCACTTCACCCCGCTCTGCCGATCCCAATTAGGCTAATGAGGATCCCCCGGGGCTCATTAGCGCAGAGGGCGGGGCACGCACCGGAACACCTCCTTCACGTGCAGCATCAGCTCGGGCCCGATGCCGTCGCCCGGGATCAGCGTCACCGTGTGCCGCCCGCCGTACTTGGCGGGGGGGCGCAGAGCGCTGCCCCTCCCACCCACCCTGCGAGTTCCAGCCAATCAGCACTCGCGGAACAGCGCCACGCCCCCAGGGCAACCAATCAGAGCCCGGTCCGCCCCTTCCAGGTCCCTCCCCTCCGGGCGGCCGCCCAGCCCCCGCCGGCGCGCCAGCCAATCAGAAGCCGCCGGTGCGGCGGGAAGCGGCGGGAACGGGCGGGGAGCGGCGGGAGCGGGGCCCGGCGGGCGGCGGGCTCGGCTCTGACCGGTCACTCACCGCGCGCGGCCGCAGCGCGGCCCGCATCACCCTCCGCCGCGCCGCCGTCAACGCCGCCGCCATGATGCCCCCGCCGCCCGCACGAGCTCTCGCGAGATCTCGGCGCCGCCCACGCGAGGAGATAGGGCGATAAGCGCGAACTCTCGCGAGAGTTCCCGCCCCGCCCAGTCCCACGCCCTCACGCCGCGGCGGCCATTTTGTGCCTGGGAGTGGCGCTGGCCTGAGGCCTCTCGGCGGGAGGGGAGAGAGGCGGCGCCGCCCACGCCGTTTTGTCCCGGAACGGCGACACCGAGCGCGGAGCCCTTTCCCCATCCGCGCTTCCCTTCGAGGGCGATATTAAAAAAACCCAATTGATAACGGGCGGGAAGAGCGGCGGCCACCGCCCCTCATCCGTCGCTATGGCAACATTGAGAGTGCGCATGCGCAGGGCGTGGTCGTGACTCCGCCTTTTCGCCCCATAGGCGGGGCGGCCGCCATTTTAACCGGGTGTGCACATCATTGCGCATGCGCTTCCCCTTGGCCACACCCCCGACCCGTTTTAGCCACGCCTCTGATCCCCCTTGGCCCCGCCCCCGCCTCCACTGAGAGCCACGTCTCGCGCGGGCTGTGCGGTGCGCTCGCTCCTCATTGGTCAGCGGGGGCGCAGGTGTCCGCCCACCGCGTTCTGATTGGTGAGCGTGCAGGCGCTGCCGGCGTTGATTGGCCGCTCCCCGCGGGGGCGGGGCCGGAGGGGTGCGCGCGGCTGACGATGGCGGGTGCCGGGGCGCTGCCGCTGCTGCTGCTGCTGCTGGCGGCGGCCGGGGCCGCGGGTAGGGGAAACCCTGAGGGGGAGCGGGAACTTGTGAGGGGAACCCGGGGGGCTCTGAGGGGTTCTGGGGGCCGTGAGGGCCGAGGGGGTCCCGCCGCGCTGGGGTCCTGTGGGGGCTGTGGGCTCTGAGGGGATGGAGGGGAGCGGGGGTCCCGTGAGGGAAGCGGGGGTCCCGTGAGGGGACATCAGGGGTTTTATGAGGGGAGACCGGGGGTTCTCTGCGGGGAAGGATTGAGGGTTCCATGAGGGGAAGGAGCGGGGATTGGGGCTTCCATGAGGGGATATCAGGGATTTCATGAGGGGATATTGGGAGTTTCATGAGGGCCCCGCAGAACGTGGCTCTGTACGCCGACGTGAACGGGAAGCAGTTCCCCGTGACCCGAGGGCAGGACGTGGGCAGGTACCAGGTGAGCCTGGGGGACTTTGGGGGGTACCTGGGAGGGGTTTGGGAGGGGTTTTGGGGGGCTCGGGTGAGTGGGGTGTACCTGGGAGGGGTTTGGGAGGGGTTTTGGGGGGCTCGGGTGAGTGGGGTGTACCTGGGAGGGGTTTTGGGGGGCTGGGATGAGTGGGGTCTACCTGGGAGGGGTTTGGGAGGGGTTATTTGGGGGGCTCGGGTGAATGGGGGATCCTTGGGAGGGTTCTGGGAGGGATTTGGGGGGATTCAGGTGAGTCAGGGGTACCTGGAAGGGGTTTTTGGGGGTTCAGGTGAGTTAGGGGTCCCTAGGAGGGGTTTTGGGGGGCACAGGTGATTGGGGGATAAAGCTGTAATTAAAGACTTGACTAATTACAGGGGGTCCAGTGAGTCAGACCCTCAGGCTGTTATCAGCTGAACTGGCCACAGAGTGACTAAAAGGATGCAAAGCAGTGGGAGCAGGTCTGAAACCCACCTGAGGACACCTGAGTTAATCCCAGTGGAAAGATTAAAAGCAGCAAGTCACAATTTAAACCACATCTTCCCAGCTACTCCCATTCCAGCTTCTCCTTAACCAGAAATCTGGATTCAAAGCTGGCTTCCCTCACAAAATTCGATGTCACCTTCACAGCTCAAATTCAAACAAATTAGGAAAAAATTCTTTGGTATGTAGTTCTTTGGGTGTTTCTGAGGCAAATTTTGTTTGATACACTCCCAAACAAGCCTGTGATGTGTCCCACCCCCTTCCTCGGGGGGGTGGGGGGTCCGTGGGAGGGGTTTTGGGGGGCTCAGGTGAGTGGGGGGTACCTGGGAGGAGTCCCTAGGAAGGGTTTTGGGGGGCTCGGGTGAATGGGGGATCCTTGGGAGGGTTCTGGGAGGGATTTGGGGGGATTCAGGTGAGTCAGGGGTACCTGGAAGGGGTTTTTGGGGGTTCAGGTGAGTTAGGGATCCCTGGGAGGGGTTATTTGGGGGGCTCAGGTGAGTGTGGGGTACCTGGGAGGGGTTTGGGAAGGGTTTTTGGGGGGCTTGGGTGAGTGGGGGGTACCTGGAGGGGTTATTTGGGGGGCTTGAGTGAGGGGGAAGGTACCAGGGAGGGGTTATTTGGGGACTCAGGTGAATATGGGGTCCCTGGGAGGGGTTTTGGGGGGTCCAGGTGAGTGGGAAGTACCTGGGAGGGGTTATTTGGGGAGCTTGGGTGAGG